AGGGTGGGGGTCCCCACTGGGGTGCCTGGCCAGCCTGGATGAGGGGCTGATGGCTATTTTCAGGCTGCCCGTACCCCTTTTAGGGTGGGGGTCCCCACTGGGGTGCCTGGCCAGCCTGGATGAGGGGCTGATGGCTATTTTCAGGCTGCCCGTACCCCTTTTAGGGTGGGGGTCCCCACTGGGGTGCCTGGCCAGCCTGGATGAGGGGCTGATGGCTATTTTCAGGCTGCCCGTACCCCTTTTAGGGTGGGGGTCCCCACTGGGGTGCCTGGCCAGTCTGGATGAGGGGCTGAGGGCTGTTTTCAGGCTGGCCAAGCTGGCAATGGAAGCTCCCAGCCTCTACATTTTTCCTTTTTATTTTTTATTCTGGGATTTATTTACCTTCTATAATTGAAACTTTGTTGCTGCTCCAGCTCTGAGGCCACGGCCTGCTGAAAGCAGGTATCTGGGGTTTGTTTAGCCTCTATAATTGCAACTTTCTTGCTTAGAGTGGAGCTCAGAGCCGGGCCGCGGCAGGCGGGGAACCTTGGCTTCGTCCATCACTGGAGCAAGCAAGCCTCCTGCTCGCTTCAGCTGCGTGGCTGCCGGCCGCCATCTTTGTTGGCAGTTAATTTGCGTATCCTGCTGATTAGCCAATGGGAAGCGTAGTGGATGTATGGTCAATTACCATGTTTGTCTATTATTAGATTAGATTACATGGAATTATTGTATGAAGAATAGTTTTCCCTTACTGGTTTTTAGATTACCCTAAAATATAGCTTATGCAGGAAGGGTGGTGTAAATGCTTGATTCTTTTCCTTTATGAATCTATTTTCAGAAGAGTTGTTACCTAACAAACTCCAGAGGTCCCCAATGTAGGGATGTGTGTACATTCACTCTTGTGTATATTTTGAATTGATAGATTTTTGTGACTGTCCCCCCACGTCCCGTGTGGTTCAGGGTTCGGGCTCAGGAAGAGGGGCCACACGCAAATGAAAGACATGAGACAAGAAATAATAATCTATCTGGTGGGGAAGTTGCTTCAGCTACCATTGTCTGGACTAAACAGTGGGTGCATTGCCCTGACCTTTGCCAGGGCTCAAGGGTCACCAGCATTCTGGGCTCCTTGTCCACACCTCTCTGCTAGAGAAGACAATAGGCAGTTTCCCACAGACTTTAACATACTTGCTTAGTGTGTTTTGGTCCATTGCAATCATCATTCTTTTTGATGCTTAAATTGTTCTTTTTTTGGCCAATGGAGTCTCCTCAAATTGTCTTCTGTATTCTTGTGACATGACTCCCAGTAGGTCTGGCAGCTTTACTGTCTCTCTGTTGCGTGGTATTTGGTGTCTATAGAGAGCATGTATTGTCCCTATTGGCATTCACACAAAATCTCTGTGCCTCATTTCAGCTGCTCTGAAGAGTGGCTCCATTGCTTTGGGGTATTCCTCACCCTCCTAAATTGAAATTCTGCATGTCAGAGAATTTGTGTTTATATTAGGTCATTGAAAACATACCATGTAAATTTTATGAAAATCTATACATCCGTTTTACACAAGATAGTAACAGCAAAATAGAAGCTAATTTCATTCATATAAATAATCCAAAATGCTTTTATCTTGGGACAGAGGGGATTAGAGGAGATGGATAACGATAGAGATTGATTTTGACATAATGAGTTTGAGATACGTAATATATCTAGTTACACTTATTTGGTAGAAATGTGCCCTCAGGCCCAGAGTTAAAGTAAAACTCTTCTGTTGTTTATAATTTTGTTGTTGTTGTTAATCCTCACCAAAGGATATTTTTTCCATTGATTTTTCGAGAGAGTGGAAAAGAAGGAAGTAGGGGAGAGAAACATAAATGTGAGACCTGGCCAGGAATGGAACCTGTAACCCAGGTATGTGCCCTTGACTGGGAATTGAACCCGAGACATTTTGGTGCACGGGTTGATGTTATAACCACTGAACAGCACTGGCCAGGATAGTTCTATATTGTTTTACTGGCATCAATATAAAACTAAAAAGCTGAGAGAATAAGTGATTTGCTAAAGTCAGGAAAAAATTAGCAAAGCCAAATATTATATAAAAGATATTTAGTAGTTTCAAATACATAGATGAAATTCAGAAGATTCTTTTTCCACATTATTTTTTTTACTCTCCTTTAGTGAGCCTGTTGAAATGAACTAAATACCTTTCTTCTTTTTCTTTTTAATTAGAGTCCTAAGAGCGGCCTGAAAGAGAGGGTTTATCTAGAGGAAAACATGGAGAAAAATGAAGTAATTCAGGACACTGTGAGTATAAAACCTGTGAAATGTAGTGCTTTTCAAATGCTTAAAGTGACAGCCATGTCTGCAATTTGTTTTTTGTTGGTTTTTTTGTTTGTTTTTTTGTTTTTTGTGTTTGTGTTTTGTTTGTTTTTTTGAGAGAAAGCTTAAACTTTAAAACAACTTAATAATTTTTTTTATAAATGGAGAGGTACTTCATAGTCAGTGTTATTAGGTGGTTTAATGATTTTTTATTGTAGTAAAATATACATAACATAAAATTTGCCAGTGATTCTTTTTAAGTGTACAGCTCATTGGCATCAAGTTCCTTTCACGTTGTGCAGTATCACAGCATTCGTCTCAGAACTTTCATCTTCCCGCAGCCGAGACTTGCACACTAACTCGAAATCACCCTCTCCCTCCGGCCTCTGGCAACCCCCCTTCTCTTTCTGCCTCTGGGAATATGACTCCCCGAGAACCCAGGGCAGTGGGATCCCACAGTAATTGTCCTTGTGTTGACCAGCCTGTCTCGCTTAGCATAGTGTCTTCACGACTCATCTCTGTTGCAGCCAGTGTCAGAATGTTTGTCCTGTTAAGGCTGAATAATAATCCATTGTCTGTATGAACCCATTTTGTTTATCCATTTGTCAGTGAGCACTTGGGCGGTTTCTATCTCCTGGCTGTTGTGAATAATGCTCCTCTGATCATGGCTGCACACATACTATTCAAGTTCTTTCAGGTCTTTTTTTTCTTTAATTCTTTATTGTTTATAGTATTACATATAGTATTACATATGTCTCCTTTTCCCCCCATTGGCCTCTCCCCTACCACTCCCACCCCCAGCACGTGCCCTCGCCCCTTACTGTCCGTATCCATTGGTCATGCATATAAGTCCTTTGGTTGATCTCTGCACCCTCCTCCTCTTTGTCCCCCACCTGTCTTCCTTCTGAGGTTTGACGGTCTGTTCGATGCTTCTCTGTCTCTGGATCTGTTTTTGTTCATCAGTTTATGTTGATCATTATATCCCACATATGAGTGAGATCATGTGATATTTTTCTTTTATTGACTGGCTTATTTCACTTAGCATAATGCTCTCCAGTTCCATCCATGCTGTTGCAAATGGTAAGAGTTCCTTCTTTTTTACAGCAGCGTAGTATTCCATTGTGTAGATGTACCACAGTTTTCTAATCCATTCATCTACTGATGGGCACTTAGGCTGTTTCCAAATCTTAGCTATGGTAAACTGTGCTGCTATGAACATAGGGGTGCATATGTCCTTTCTGATTGGTGTTTCTGATTTCTTGGGATATAGTCCTAGAAGTGGGATTACTGGGTCAAATGGGAGTTCCATTTTTAATTTTATGAGGAAACTCCATACTGTCTTCCATAGTGGCTGCAGCAGTCTGCATTCCCACCAGCATTGCACGAGTGTTCCTTTTTTCTCCACATCCTCGCCAGCACTTGTCATTTGTTGATTTGTTGATGATAGCCATTCTGACAGGTGTGAGATGGTACCTCATTGTCGTTTTGATTTGCATCTCTCTGATGATCGGTGACTTTGAGCATGTCTTCATATGTCTCTTGGCCTTCTGTATGTCCTCTTTCGAAAAGTGTCTATTTAGGTCATTTGCCCATTTTTTGATTCGATTGTTTATCTTCCTTTTGTTAAGTTGTATGAGTTCCCTGTAAATTTTGGAGATTAAATTTTTATCGGTGATAACATTGGCAAATATGTTCTCCCATGCAGTGGGCTTTCATGTTGTTTCGTTGACGTTTCTTTTTGCTGTGCAGACGCTTTTTATTTCGATGTAGTCCCATTTGTGTATTTTCTCCTTAGTTTCTATTTCTCCGACATATGTCTGATATTTTGCTGCCTATGGATTCTTCTAAGATTTTTATGGTTTCCCATCTTACATTCAAGTCCTTTATCCATTTTGAGTTTATATTTGTGTATGGTGTTAGTTGGTGATCTAGTTTCATTTTTTTGCATGTATCTGTCCAATTTTCCCAGCACCATTTATTGAAAAGACTGTCTTGACTCCATTGTATGCTCTTGTCTCCTTTGTCAGATATTAATTGAACATAATCGCTTGTGTCGATTTCTGGGTTCTCTGTTCTGTTCCATTGGTCTATATGTCTGTTCCTTATGCCAGGACCAGACAGTTGTAAGAACAGTGGCTTTATAGTATAGCTTGATATTTGGTATTGTGATCCCTCCAATTTTGTTCTTTTTTCTCCAGATTGCTGGGGCTATTCGGAGTCTTTTTTTATTCCATATGAATTTCTTGAGATTTTTTTCTAGGTCGATTTCTGATTTTGTAGACTATAAGAAAAACAGAGAATTGCAACAATAGCAATGGTTAGTCTAATTAAGAAGACAGGGTGCTTACAAGCATTAAATCTTGCCTTCTAGCGAGGTGTAGGGGACAGGATTATAAAGAAGAAGGGGCGAGGGTGCGGAATGTAGCTACTTGCAGGCCTGTGGTCTGTAGACAGAGCTATTGTCAGGCATGAGATGATGTTGACTTCTGGGGGTCAGTCTGACCATGCTTATTGGTTCTGTTTGCTGGATTCATAGCTGAATTACCTCTCTATTTACTTCAAACAGGCCTTGAAAAGAAAACTTTAGGAAAAACGTAACCCCCCTATTCACATATAAGGATATGTGTTCTAAGATTTAAAATATGATTACTTTTCTGATTAATTTAGGTGCTCTATTTATTAGATTTGTTATTTATTATACTTATAATTCCTTTTAAGATTTCTCTTTATAAACCTTTTATGACCTTTATAAACATTCTTATAACTTTCACAATTATTCTTTAATATTACTACTCTAATTTCCTCTCTTCCTGTTATATTCCTTTCTTTACATCTCTTCTCACAATTTTACTTCCTCAACTTTAGTTCTTCTTTACTTGTAGAGACCCTCTGTAACTTATACATACCTTTTAAAATTTACATATACCTTTTATAACTTATATATACCTTCTGTAACTTATATATATCTTCTGTAACTTACACATACTCTTTCAGTTTATCGACTTCACTTTCTTTTTTCTTTATCTTTATACCTTCTATTATACAAAAACTATAAATTCCTTCTAATTATTATTTATGATTAAAGGTTAGTTCTATACAGGTTCCTCTATTCCCAGCTTCATAGCAGTTGGAGTGGTGAGAAGTATGTCTCAGAGTCTATCTCTTTACCCTCCTGTTGGCCTATCGTCCTTGCTCTGCTCATGTCTGTCTAACTGCCTACTACATCCCCCTTAAGGATCTTGGCTCTGAATTCTTTCAGGGAAAGGGGATACCAGTTTCTTCTGAAACTGCTTCGTGCTAAGGTGGGTCAGAGGTTTCTCTCAGAGCTAAGAGATCCTTGCTCTCTGTCAGAGGGACGATGAAGCCTGGGCACAGAAGGAGGTGGCAGTGGTGCCTAGAGGTGGTATTCCCTAGGTGTAAGTAGGGCTTGTAATCTGTTGGAGACAAACTGAGTTATAAAATTTAGTATTAATTGGACAAAAGTTAGAACAGTTTCTAATAATTTCCTGTTGAAACATTTTTTCTCCCTAAAATCATCCTTATTTTTATTAAATGCTAATTTACTTACTGTATTCAGTGTAGTTATAATTTGGCCTGATTGTTTGCATGAACATAACAAGAATAACAGTTGATTATACAGGTTTTTTTTTAAAGAAAATGTGCTTTGCTGGAATCTCATGGGAAAGTTTACCCCCAGGCAAAGGAGCCAAGCCCGCAGTGGCCATCAGGCTTCGCCTGCAGTACCTACAGAATCGGGGTGCACTCCTCAAGTGGAGGTCCCCACAGGTGTCTTGAGATGTCTTTCATGCCATCTCTCAGGAAAGCAACCTTCGTTCCTTACCTGGAAAAGCTGCCGTGAGCCATGTGACCAAGCAAGGTACCAGGCCATTTATCCAAGGGGCTTATCAGCTTCAGTCAGTCTTCATTCCTTAGAGCTTCCTGGTGACATCCAGAGTCCTGGCCTGTCTCTTTCAGACATGACATCCCAGCAAAGTTTTGGTTAATAAAACTACAATTGGAAACTGACTTATGTCCTGTTTGGAAGAAATTAGATTTCTATTAGAACATAATTACTAAAACTATAATTATTTTTAGTTCATTTAGTCCTATAATCAAATTCTTTTTCTCCTGATTTTTCTTGCTAGTATTTCTATAAACTTAGTTACTTTGGAATCTTGTCGTTTTTGCAAAACACAATATTCCACAATATTATAACTTATAACACTTAGTTATAAATGAAAGCATATTAGAATCTATTTAATATGTATATATAAATAGAATACAAATGTCACTTACTTATTTGACAGAGCTTCCCATATACCTTAAGCATAAAATTTTTCTTCATAAGGAGAGAAAGCAAATCTTAAAATTTAAACCCTGGGAATGTAGTCAAGTACATTATATATTATTATTACTATTTTTTTTTTGGAGGAGGGGATTATTTATGTATTTATTTTTAAATTTTATTTTTTTGTTTAAAGTATTACAAATAGTAGTATATATGTCTCCTTTTTTCCCCCATTGGCCTTCCCCTGGCCTCCCCTACCCCGGCACATGCCCTTACCACCCCCCCCCCCCCC